GGGGAAATCAGTACAGAGAGTCCTCAAAAAGCTAGGATTAGAGGTTCCATTTGATCCAGCTATTCCCCTTCTGAGTATCTTCCTGAAAGAATTAAAAGCATCATACCATAGCAATATATGCACACCTACATGAATAGTGGCAGTTTGTAATAGCTAAACCTTAGAAACAGTCCAAATGCCCCTCAACCGATGAATAGATAAATTTTTTTTTATACAATGGAGTACTTCTCAGCCACAAAGAAGGATAAACTTGAGACATTTCTAGTTAAACAGATGCACCTTGAGACCATATTCTTCCTTTTTGGGGGGTACCAGGGATCAAACTCAGGTCCTTGCACTTGCGAGGCAGGTGTCAGAACCACTGAGCTAAATCCCCAGCCTGAGATCATATTCTTAAGTGAAATAAATAAAAAACACGTGTAAATATTGTATTGTCTCTCTGGTATGAGAAATTGAAAGTGTAAATAAGGACCAAAAAAGCCAGGCGTGGTGGCGCACATATATAATCCTAGCACTCAGGAGGCTGAGGCAGGAGGATTGCTGTGAGTTCGAGACCAGCCTACACTACATAGGGAGTTCCAGGTCAGTCTCAGCCACATAGTGAGACTGTCTCAAAAAACAAAAATCAACAACAACAAAAACACTGTACAACAGATATTGTGAAATAGGAAGAAATTGTTCAAAATAATACTGTGTCAGATACTTTGTTAATAATTAAAATGTTTTATGAAAAGGGTATAGTTTTCTTAGATGATAGGTTAACAATTGAAAATATATTCTTTGACAATTGTGAAGCAGTGTATTTACCATTATTATCTAAGCATTTTGTTATGAAATTTTATAGAAGCGTTTTTATATTTTCTTTATTAATATCTACTTGCATTACAGTAAAATGAAAATAAACTAAATTGCAGGTTAAAGGTTATGATTATTGTTTTGCTTCACTGATACTATTATTCACTGGTTTTTTGGCTTTTGTTATTATGAAGTCTAATTTGACTCTTTTACAGAGTTCTTTTTCTTTGGCTGATTTTAGGATCTTCTTTTTGGATCTGCAACTTTTAGAGGATATTTATGTGAGGAGTTTTCCTTTAGGTTTGCTTAGGATTTATGTGTGTGTGTGTGTTTTTTTTTTTTTTTTTTTTTT